TCTGTCTGTCTATCTGTCTATCATTTTGGGGTGAAAATAAAACAACAAAAAACAGGACGTTTGTGTTAGTGAGAGAAGACATGCAAGACTGCTTTTCCAAATAGGAAGATATCATGAAAATCAGGCCAATTTCATTGACAGCTGTGCCTTCAACTTTGTGACGCATTGATTTAAGACAGAAAATAACCCCCCTCCCTTTGAAATCTTTCATTTTTGATGTTAACTTAAGCACCACTTTAGCACGACTGTCTATGATGGAAACTCTACATTTATATTACACAGATTGAGGTCATCCGGGCTAAAACTGCAGTTTACATGACAGCGTACAAGTAGTTAAATTGGATTCATCCCCCGCCACTTTCTCGCTGGTCTACAAGTATTGCATTTGCGCTGTGTGTCAGAGGTCTGGTGAGACGTGCCGTGTGTGAAAACTCAGCTTTGTTAGGGGGTTTGGGAGGCTACCAGTCAATAGAGCTGCAAACATAGGACGTGGAAGCATGGAACTGGGGGATTTTGGGGTAGATGGGGGTGACTCAGAGAGGAACCATTCTCCTGTGTTACATCACTGCTGCTTTACTATGGGGGATGATTGGTGCCACAGAGTAAAAAACGTCGGACTCGGGGTGCACACACTGACTGGAAGTATTCCACCACAGTCTCTGCAGTTGCCACGAGGTTAAAATGACATTTAAAACGTAGGCGATCGTTTTCTTCAAATGCTTCTGCGGTTATGATGACAGAACCAGACTGATACATTGCCGGGAAATGATTATCTCACCTATCATCTTTTGGCATGCATGTTGGCTGAAAAGTAAAAGGCATTTGAAGGGCAGAAATGACTAAAATGTGTGTTGTAAACATAAAAACAGTCTCGATAATACATCATTTGTCCACCAGAGAGCACTCACAAGTTTATTTTCTTGTTCAGTTCATATCTTTATAACAATTATTCAATCACCAGACATTATTAGCAGAAATTTTGTTTTTTATATTTAGGTATGTTATATTGGCCAATACATATTATACTCGTAAGTATCAATATGGGTATCAGCCACAAAAATCCAGTAATTGTTGGGGGTTGCATATTGAAACAAAAAATATTAGAAAAATCTAATTGAGAACATGAATTTCAACTTAAAAAGAAAAAAAACATACATTTTCTGAGTTTGTTATTCTGAGTTCTTGATAAAATGTGACTGTCTTCCATTGTCCTCTGCTGCGATCAGACCTCCTTTGGGCTACCATACAGTATTCTGCTTTTCCTCATTATTTTTTACTCTTTAAAAGCCACAAGAACAGTGTTGCACCATATTCTGGAGATGTTTTGCCATATTTCTGTGACCAAAAAAAAAGGTCACAACACATTGCCACAGCTGTTACCAAAAGCAGTGATGGTACCTTCAATGAAAATATGACCTAAAAACTATAGAAAGGGTCACTAAGCTATGACCTGTACAACACAAACACGCCATACCTTAATATCCACATAAACCCATCAATCTTGTTCCATTATTAAATATACAGTGGCACAGAATCTGACTGGGTAACACATTTCAGCACAACACCGGTATTCCCAAACTGGAAGCCTCTATTCCAGGTCTACACTGAGCTCCAGTGGCATGAATCGCCCCTCATACAGTGCATCCATCTACGAGCCAACAGCGCTAACTATCGCTCTCATCCTCGGCTCTAACCTCCGCACATGACAGCGAGGAGACACAGATTATACCTCCACAGAAAGCCCAGACCACAACTATAGTAAGCCTGAAATAAAACTCGGGACACCCTGTAAACACGACGACAAAAAAAACTAACGTTACAGGTTTAACGGAAAGATAACCCCTAGTATATTCCACTAGAGATAAAGTACACAAACTCAACCAATGCCACAAATCTTATGAGTGCCTACAGGAATGTTACAGGGGCTACATTTCCGGAGATTGATGGACTCTTTAGACTGTTGCACCGTATGGACAACCAGTGTTGTAGCTAACGTGTAGGAAGGGGGGGGGGCGTCAGGGTCAAAAAGGAGTTGAATGTTCAGGCTAACGTTAAAACCGGAGAGGGGGAGAAGGGGGGGGGGTAGTTTGCGCCATAGTCCCGCTGCCTAATCAATAACATGCACACAAATCAACGGAGGAAACGTCTCAACGTTAACCGTTGGACGTTAAACTCGGCTCGGCCCTGTAACCGTCAGTGGAACCCTGGAACGGAACGTTGGCTATGAAAAAGAAGAAGCTTTAATTCGACACCAGAAAAAAACAAAAAAAGAAAAACTCGCTTTTACCCTTGGTTATAAAAGAGCAATTCAACAGTGGGGACTCTCAGTAGTTGGGCTACATACATGGTAGCTAACCCGTGTTGCAAGTACTTACCAGGGTGACAGTCTTTGTGTTTGGGCAAGGTTAAAAACATTAAGGATAAAATCCACCAGTAACTCGGTTCCCGTATTCTCCGCATGTTAGACTACTCATCGAGAGTAACCAGAAGGCAACGGGTGACAAAGTTTTTGAGTCTTTTTCGCTCTTCTTTTAAAAACAAACAAACAAAAAAATCACATACACACGACCGAAGCTGAAAGCGAAGTTGGCACAGCAGCCACGAAGGCAGAGCATCAAAGTACTGGTGGTTAGCGGTTTTTAGGGCGACAGAGTCACTGCTGTTTAAAAAGACACATTTATTCGCCTCCAGTCCGAGCAGGAGCTGTTTTTAGCTTCGAGGAATAAAACGTTACGCACGCCAGAGCTGTGCAAAAACAGTTGAAAATCTGCGGGACTCCACCGTGCCTGTAGCGGGCTTCCAGATAGCGACATTCCCGAAGTGTGGAGGGGTCAATCGGCGATCAATCGCTGTCTTTAACTAACAGAGGGACAGAGAGGGGGAAAAAAGTGGTCGACTATTATTGATTACACGTGGTCATTGTGAAGTGATTATCCGCGGCGTCAGCGTGACGAGGGGCGATGCACAATGCGAAGAAAAGTGGAGCTGGAAGCGTCCCATTCTTCCATCCAGGAAGTAGACTTTAGCGGTCAGGCGTGCACGGATATCTGGCTGCTGGTCCCATCCTACCGGACAGGCTGCGTGTGAGAGGGAGCCAGCACGGGGCGGGAGCAGCTGAGGGGAGGGAGGAGAGAGAGAGGGAGGGAGGTAGAGAGGGGAGGCGGTTCTTGGATTTGCTGAATGCAAAATGAGTCGGAACTCGGAACGGACCCAGAGGCTGGTTTCTGTCTACGGTGCTATGATAAGAGGAAGAGTCCAGAAAAAAAAAATCAGTGGCTCATGTCAGATTGTCAAGTCACCAAGTCCAGCCTTGATTCTGCTGCTCCCCCCTCTCCCCCCCTTTTTTTCATGTTGCATCAAACATGTTGCATCAAATGATGAAACACTGTTGGAATATTATCTAACTGAGGCCATTTCAGACTCTACAGTTGATGTTCAGTAAAGGTAGAATCTACTGAATCCAACCCCCCACATCCTGCCATCTCACTGTTTTGCTGCTTCCTCCCAGGCCCCATTATTAAAATGACCCTCCTGTGGCCACACAATGATGTCCCTTTGCCTCCTGCTGGCAGAACTGTGAATGGAATACTTTAGCAGTAATCATCACCTGGAATATCATCATGTGTGAGTGTGTACTGATCGGAGAATTATGCATCCACCGGTGACTCTCCCTTAGGTAAATGTGTAGTCAGTAGTGTTCTTGCAGAACTATCCAGCTGGACATTTAATTTGAGGAATCTGATTAAATTTCTCATTTAATTACCCAGTTCTCTGCAGGGCCATTGAAGACAGTCACAAGGGCCCTTTGCTTTTAATGTGGGCCATCTGCTTCCTCTCCAAAATGCCTACCTTTTCACAGCCCCCACAGCCTCGTGGGCATCCTTGCACGATTCTCCAGGCTGCACTACCTCCATACACACTGCAAAACACAATACTCCAGACCTGACTGTACTCTGACTGATCAAGTCCAATTAACCTGAACAGAAGTTTCTGAACACTTTCCAGTTTTTGTTTTCTGTCTTGGCCGTGTCAGGTGAGACAACTGGATGGCCCTGCTGAATTAATCATGCAGACTTCAAAACTCTTTATGCAATAGGTCCATGACACTTGCCCTAACGTGTAGAGGTCACCAAACCAGTGAAACGTCACAATGTAAAGTTAACTGTAATTCAAATTAGTTCTCATGCACATAAAAATAGACCAATGCAACTGTAAATGAGTTATCAGTGTGAAGAGTTTGCTCAGTTGGATATGTGTTATATATTGCTGACACAATTCATCAATTAGTTGATTGACAGACAATCAATACAGCAACTATTCTGATGATCAGTTAATTGTTTAATTTATTTATCAAGTGAAAGTGCCAAACATTGAGTGGTTCCAGCTTCATAACTGTGAGGATTTGCCGCTTATAGTCAACTGAAAAACCTTTTGGGTTTTGGATTGTTGTTCGGGATGAAACAAGCAATTTAAAGGTTTCTGGTCAGGCTCTGCACTGACATTTTCACAACTTTAAAGACCAAAGAATTGATCGATTAATTCGGAAAAGAATCAACAAGTTAATCAATCATGAAATGCAGCCTTAATGTTGCAGTTAAAACATTAACATGCAGTGTTCCCACAAGTGTCCTTTCTCGCTACTGTTTGGGCAAATTACTTTTCATGCAGTGGAATATGCAACCTCTAAGTCGGAGAAATAGCGCATGAACAGCAATGAGTGTAAACTTAAGTAATGGACAGTCCAACATTAAAAGTCCATGGAAACATTTGTGGTCATAATTTAAGCAATAAGCCACAAGGCTCCTCGAAGCCAAGGCTGTGATGTACTTTGTGTGTTTTGCAAAATGTTGCCTTGCAGCTGTTTTGAAATCAACCATGACATGATCCCGGCTTATAGCTTTAATAAAAAAGGATGTAAGTGTTACACAAGGTTTTATTTCATTTCCAATAACACTCAGATAACAATAAAACAAAAACAGAGGGTGGGGGTGGGGGGTGACATGTTCTTCATGATAAATCTTAACTCGAGAATATTAAAAAACAAAATGCAAATAAGCGGTTCTTCATCAGATGAGTGTTGGTTGGATTAATTTTGCAGTTTGCATCTCAGCGCCTGTTGAAACTCAATTTTCTCCTGAACAGTAACACTTATTAGCCTCCATGCGTGCAGTGCACTGCGGTTTCCTGCAACATGTGAATTAAAGGGAACTTTAATTAACTAGAAAGTTCCTAAAGAAATTTTGAGTGTGCCTGACTCTGGCCCGTATATTAATACCATGTCATCCTCTCTAGCACGCTATGTGTGTGTTTGTGTATGTTCACAGTCAGGCTTGTGAGAGGCAGGCTTTGGTTGTCTTGGCAACCAGGGCCAGGCCACAGCAGTTAAGTCTCTAACTCCTGAGAGAGACAGGAAATCTCAAACATGAACCCCCTCGAACCATTTGGCCAGCGAACAACCGAAATGAAACTGAAAAGACCGTTTTGAGCATTATGCATCTTTCTTTACCATAGGACAGACAAGTTTCAGTGGCTAAAGCTTAAAAACAAATTTTTTCTCTCCCCGCTACACACTCTAGTCATAATGTCACGCACTCTAGTTGCGAGCCATTCTACGCATACACCACCCATTAATTTTTGTTTTGGGCCTGGCTTTTTTGGGGCCGATTTTATCGGCAAAATGTTGGGCTGAAACGCCTAGAAAAGTCACAGCCCCACTAATGGTCCCCAACCGGGAGCCGCCACGTTTTTGGTACCTTTTTGTGCTATGCTGCGGACCAAGAACTGCAGCGAGTAGGAGGCTCGGGACCGAAAAACGACATGGAAGAGTTAATTGCCTGTTTTTTTTTTTTTTTTTCACAGTCAAGCTTGTGAGCTGCAGGCTTTGGTTTGCTAGGGCAAACCAGGACCAGGACACGGCAGTTAATACAGTTGAGCATTGCTACCCAATAACACACCATTCATTTTTTTGGGCCGGTTTTTGGCGATTTATCGGCAAACCGTTTGGCGAAACGCTTAGAAAAGTCATAGCACTAATGTCCCGGCCGAGCCACACGTCTTGATACCTTTTTGTGTATGTGCGACCAAAACTGCGGGAGGAGTAGTCGACCGAAAAACGTACGGAAGAAGAATAATAAGTATGGTGAATAGTAGTAGTGTGCTTTGCAGGCACACTAATAATACGGCAATAAGTTGCACTTATGGCATCCAACTTGGAAGTCTGACAAATGCACCCAGGTGATACGGCATTCATTTGGCGAAAGTCATGCCTTTTGATGCAGAGCCACTTTCTTCTCTCTGATCGTCACAAACACAAAAAAAGCAATCGCAGCCCAACATAGTATAAATTGAGGCATGATCATTATTTTTTTTCTATCACAAAAGCACCATGCAGAGACAAGACATTAAAACCAATCAAATGCCCAAAGCTACCCTCCACTCTCCACAGTACTTCTTTGCACGTTCTAGTAGTTTCATGAGGCATTTGTAATGTGTCCTTTGACATCTGGCTTTGTAATCTTTTTCACCCTTTGGGAGTTGAGACCCTTAAGGCGTCCTAACACTTACCCCCAACAGTTTAAATGTGCTTTAGATTGAAAAAAGAAAAGAAAAACGGAGATATGCATGATTCATTCGAGTCCAGCCATGACACCAAAACTGTCCCAAAGGCATCTCCTTCTCCCTTTGCCCTTAAGTGGTTTGAGAATCACACTTGTATTATTTTTTCAAACACATTTCACATGTTGACAGTTAGTACATTATGTACGACTGTGTGCATCAATTATGTAATGCAATTCAGGCTATGACTATATATAATTTATTTGATTCTCAATCTCTTAAATTATTTAATCGAAAGCTATTTTTACCATTATTACTCTCCCCAAATAGTTTTATCTTTTGTTGGTCCGTCGTCTAGTTCTTACCATCAATGTGTCATGTTTTCTGCACTGAATCTTGTATGCATTAACGCTTCAGGACGGCATCACCAGTGTCTGTCAGCTGTGGAAGGACAACTTTAAAAAGGGTAACACTCTAAAGGCTGCAAAGATGGGTTCAAAAGTGAGCCTTTGGCAGGCAAATAAGAATTTTTGGTTTTCTTTTCTTTTTAAAACTATGCTTCATTGCTGAATTAATTCATATGAAAAATGTAGGTTATGTTTATTTATGTTTTATTTTTGACTATATTATAATAAATTTTATGCTGATCCTTTGGAGACTCTGTTTTTGAAGTCAATTTTAGGAGCCGATAATAGGCTCAGGATGTGAAATGGCACTTTAGCTATGATAAAATCAAAACTATGGCAATTATGAGTTTTGATTCAAAGATTAAAGGACTGTATTGGTGTTTTGCATCTCTTAGCCAATTTACTGAAATTACAAGTATTTGGGGCCTGGATGTTTTTGATGTCTCATGGCAGTTAGTTTCTTCATGATATGACAGACAATCCATTACCAAGAACATTACATCTTATTTTTTATTTTTTTGTCAGAGTTATGTTGTATAATTGTGTTGAAATGCATTTGACTGATAGAAAGGCGTGAAGACAGTCGATAAGCAAACGGGGAGACGCTGCAAAATGTGAATTCTGTAGCAGCCAACTAAGTCTTGGATATTGAACGTGCTCATAATTCCTCTCAGGGATTTATGGTCTGAATTTAACTTTTGCGATTGTGCATCAAAACGAAGATGCCTCTGAGAAGAGCAGATGGGAACCTCTCTTGTTCCTGTGGAAACAGGAGGGTACAATTCCTGAGGGGCAGCTACTATCCCCTGTATTGATTATTGATGCTATTCTAGTTGTCATCTGTCACCCTCAGTGTGGAAATTTACACTTGCAGTAAGTGTTAAAACAAACAACACAAAACTCTGCACTTCTTGTACTGTAAGAGAAACCACTGTTCCCTATTTTTACTGTCAGTTTTTAAATCATTATAAGATCATACACTTGTTTCATATGTGCAAATTAATTTATTCATCAACATAATACTGTAGTCTCAAATTCAAAGAGACTTTGCCATGATGTAATATGTTGGTGCAATTGACCTAATTCAGGAGGATGGAGGATAATTTTCTGT